CCAAATTGACATCTTTTAGCCAAAGATGAAAGCTCTAAAAATTAAAAGACACAAAGCTAAGGGTGCTAAACATCATGTTCTAGGGCAGAATGTGATCCCATAGAAGTCTAAGATAAAGGTATAGGATGGGAAGAGAAACTCTGAGAACTTTATACTTAACATCAGGGCACTGGGTCCCAGGGCTTCCAAGGACGCCGTGTGAGGCTTTAGGACAGGCTGTCTAGACAGTGAGAAGCACAGAAATCCACAGCTGGGCAAAGTGGAAAGTGTCCAAGGAGTACTCGGCCACGAGTGGGACATCTATGTCACACACACACACACACACACACACACAAACACACACACACACACACGCCCTTCCAAGGTTCAGGGGACTTCACAGAGAGGGGCAGTAGAGCAGGAAGAGTCATGGAGTACCAGGATCTAACAGTGTCCACTGGATGTCACAGCACCTCGGACTCTTGAGCCCACGGTAGCTGTGATTGCCAGCACAAAGCTAAGCTGAAGAACATTCTAACACTGAGTGGAGAGAGTCTTACAAGCCCCCACCCTAAATAAGACACTATTGATGGCCAATGGTTTCTGGGGAAGGCAGACTACTTTTGTTTAAGAGGGTATCCCCTGGACGGTCAACCACATTCCTGTGGATAGCCCCGAACTCATGAGCATATGAGCAGCACACATGGACTTTGTGGGATATCTGTAAAAAGGACACAGTTGGGAGGAGTCCAGCGAGGTGGGATGACGACCCAGGAGGAGCTAAGGGAGGAGTAGGAAGTGAATATGATCAGAATGGATTGTATAAGATCTTCAAAGAATTGATAAAAATATTATAGTTTTCAGAGGTCTGTCCAGAATAAATGAACTTATGAGGATGATGAGTGGCATTGGGTACTGACATTTCGAGTTTTCATTCCCACACTCTCTCCCTCCCTCATTCATTCATTCAACAAACACTTTTCCAGCTGTTGTAGGAATCTGATACAGCTGAAGATGCTGTCTCAATAGGGCTGAGAGTGAATCCACAGTCACATCGGGAGCTGGCAGCTTCACTCGATTCTCTAAGGATGTAAGTGATAACTGAGAAATTAAAGTACAGAGAGCACAAAAGTGATTTGACTATCAAATTTCAGGGCCTCTACCAAGCTCCTTTCACGGCAATGCCATGGACTTCTAGCAGTAATATACCTCAACAACACTAACACTTGTGAGAGTCCAAGATCCCAACAGGAACTGCTGAGAATCCTGAAAGGCTATACAATCATTTCCCACCCCTGAACTCTAGGCAAGGCCCTCCCAGAGCAGAGCCAAAACTACTTAATGTAAGGTCTGAAAGAAATCACACTGAAAAACACTTCCCTCTCCTCCTGCAACACACAACACCAAGGAATCATACTGAAATGTTATCAAAGCTCCTGCTGCCCTCTAGTGGTCTTAGTCTAGAAATGGCATTCACAGTAAGAATGTTAAAGACCGCTGCCCAAACCAATAATTAAAAGCTGGCACCACTCGTTTAGACTTTGGGGAGACAGTGGAGTATGAAGGAGAGAAGAGTAAGTAACTCATTCAACTTCCCAAAACCTCATCTCAGTAGCCACATCTAGGGAGTGAAAGTTAACATGACTCTTTTGGGACTGGAGAGGTGGCGCAGAGGTTAAAAGCACTTACTGCTCTTACAGAGGACCCAGCATCTATATCAGATGGCTCACAGCTGCCTGTAATCCTAGTTCCGGGGGAGCTCATGCCACCCACTGACATCCAAAGGCACTTGTACACACATGGAATACATAAACTCATCCAGGCACAGGTAAGTAAGATAAATAAATAAATACATACATACATACATACATACATGCATAAACACATAAACAAATGATAGAAGATAGATAGATAGATAGATAGATAGATAGATAGATAGATAGATGATAGATAGATAGACAGACATGTGGTTCAGTGATCAACAGCACTGGCTGCTCTTGCAGAGAACCTGAGTTCAATTCCCAGCACCCACACAGAGGTTCACAGCTGCCTATAACACCTGAGGATGTGATGTCCTCTTCTGACCTCCACAGGCACACATGTCACAAACAGAGATACATGAAAGCAAAACATTCATACAATAAAAATGAAGCTCTAAGATTCTAAATGTCTCTTCTGATGGCTCTCTTGCAGGCTGAGAAAACAAACAAAAGCCCAAACAAAAGAGGCACAGGGCAGAGCCTCTTACTAAAGCAGGACTCTGACCTCACTAACCTTCCCAAGTCTGTGGGGCCTAGCAAGGTCACTCGCTTTAAAGCTAGCTTAGCCAGTGCTCTGAGTGAGTAAGGAGCCACAGTCAGAATGCTCAGATTCTACCTCCAGTTCTCGCCATGTCTCCAGTACCCTAGGAGCAGCTGATAATGGGGAATCTTAAGAATTTAAAGCATCTTAAGAGGCTATTTTCAAACATCGCTGGCAGTTGCCATTAAACCTAAAAATAGACATTCATATCTCAATGGTCAGTTCTCTGGATTATGTCTTCAAAACTATGGAAAACGCACACAGGCTTGTGCTGAAAGTATGTCCAAGAGTTAGTAATAATAGTCCAAAACTGAACGTTAGAGTGCAGGCAGGGTCTTCTTGAGACAGAGCACTCACTGGTCCATTAGTGAGACACCTAATGAAAGATTATTCTACAACCACAAAACATAAGTCCTGTGTATCAGCCTCAAGGGTGTTACGTTAAGTGGGAAAAGGTTTAAAAAAAAAAACCACCCTGCATGATTTATTTATCCAATATCCTTTGAGTGACAAAACTGTAGGGATGATGGGAAAACGGATGGTTATTTCTAGACATTAGGGGAGGAGAAGGAAGGCGTAACTCCTAGAGGTTACAAGGTCAAGATTAGATCCATGTAGTGATATATAATTTTACATTTTTCTTATACTTTATTCATCTATTTACTTATTTTATGTGTATGTGTGATCTGCCTGCACATATGTCTATGTACCACATGTGTGCTTCTGTCTGTAGAGGCTGGATGAGTCTATAACATCCCTGTAGCTGGAGTTACAGATCATTGTGAGCCTCTGTGTGGGTGCTAGGAATCAAACCCGTGTCCTCTGTGAGGGCAGCAAGCCCTCTGACCCACCGAGCCATCACTCCAGCCTCTTGTTTTACATCTTGATAGCGGCCGAGTCTCCTCAAGGCTACACAGGTGACATGCACACATTCCACCAGGATCTGTCTCCTGGCTTTAATACTGTGTCATGGTTCACGAGACACAGCTACTGAAAAGAACTACGGCAGAGCACACTGGCTTCACTGCGCTGTGGTCAAATCCGTGGCCATTTCAAATTGCTGTTAGGTGTAAAGGTAAGTTTAAAACTCACAGAGTCGCTGGCTGTGGCGAGGAACACCTTTAATCAGAGCACTCAGGGAGCAGAAGCCGGGCATCTCTGTAACACTGAGGCCAGCTTACATCTATATCCAGGCTAGCCAAGGCTACAGAGTTAGGCTGTGTCACAAAGAAAGAAGAAAGAAAGGAAGAGAGAAAGGGGTTGGGGGGACAGGGAGAGAGAGGGGAGGGAGGAAAAAGGGAAGAAAGATAGAAATAAATTACAGAGTAAAATCTTATTTAAAGCCATTTTAAAAGTCAATTAAGAAATTGGCTGAATTTCACCTCCTCACAGTACATTCTTTATGCTTGCCCGTGTCTAACCCTCTCCAGTTCTGATGTCTCCATCTCTGCATCCTGATCGTGAGCCAGCCAGTTAATTTTGTGAAGTCTTAAGTATTAGTGGGCAACAGTAAACATGGTTTTATCTTAAGCTTGGAGCCGTTGTGTACACCTGTAATCCCAGCACTCCTGAGACAGGGACAGAGAATCAAGGATTCAAGGCAAGTCCGAGCTACACACACACACACACACACACACACACACACACACTTACTTCAATAAATATTCAATTATGAGGGACATGTTTACAGTGAAATGTTATGGTGCTGGCCACTGGTGTAGCTACATTGGTAGAGTGCTTGTGTAGCATAAAAGCCTGGGTGGTTTGACCCCAGTACGATATTAAACAGGTTATAACGGCTCACCCCTGCTATCCCAGTACCCAGGAGATAGAGGCAGAGGATCAAAGGTTGAGATCCTGTCTCGAAAAAAATCTCTTGAAAACTTAATCATTAGGGCTGGAACGATGGCTCTACTGGCAAGAAGCTTGCCATGTAGCTCACAAGAACTCATAAGGCAAAACAACAACAAAAAGAAAAAGAACAAACACGGTAAACTCCTTCAGCCCCAGTGCGGGGAGGGGGAGGGGGGGTGCAGACACAGGGGCTTCTCAATCAGTTTACCAAATCTGTGAGCTCCAGGTTTAGTGAAAGCCTAGGTCAAAAACTAAGGTGGAGATGAGGGAAATGGAAACGGAAATCAAAATTGTGGCTTTCTCCAAGCAATGGGGTTTGTATACTTAGCTTTTCTTCTTTTATGCGTCTCTCTATATTCTGAGCGTCTGCTATGAGGAGAATCACTGTGGTCTTCAGAGACTTCAGACAGACCAATATTTAACGAGGTCAAAAGAAAGCGATTTCCAAGAACGGAATTTGGTTTCTTGTCACAGTTAGATAAGAGGTAGGGAACATAAACAACGTCTGTGAGCTAGCAGACTCTGAAAGGCTGGGAGTAGTGGAAGGACAGCCAGACCTGAGCAGGAAATGTGTTTAACAGCGGAAGTTCGGACTTAAATCTTGCCTGTGGGACTCATCACAGAATACAATAGATAGAAAACCTGAAGCTTCCAGAAGAAATAAATATTCAAAGCTGTAAATCCAACAGCCACCATCTCTGGATGGGGATGTTTCAAACACACTGAGGAGAAACAGCAAAATACAACGTTTAAAGCCCGTGCTGCTTGTGGAGGGCCATCATCCGGGGCAGGGCTATCAGCAGCGCCAGCTGAGTCTGACACAGGTCTACTTAAGATCGCATCTCCCCAGCTGCGCTGCACATGCCGCTGCCATGGCTCACAGTGAAAGCCTGGGGCTCCAGATAATGGGACTTGGCCCCACGTACTACTGGAGCATGCCTTTTCTTGTCATTCTGGGAAGCCAAGGCTGAGCTGCGCAGCCTGGCCCTGAACAGACCCTGGGCATTCCCCTGGATGCCGACTAGATAGAGAGAGGGATTTTGCTTTCTTTAAACTGAAAACCATTGAGTACCGGGCACATCTGGCCCTTTCGCAGAGACTTCAGCGTTGCAGAGGAGCTAGGACGGCTACCTTGGAGAAAGCAGAAGTCACAGTTTCGGCAGGAGCAGACCCTCAGACATAGCCCGAGGCTTTCAGAGCAAAGACGTGCTGCTGACACAGACCACCACAGCTGCCCACTGACCAGCAGATCTAAGAGAATGCGTCTACCAAGTACTACAGACAGGAGGATAACGCTGTGGCTTCCAGGAGGGCAGCTCACTCTGCTGCTGCTGCTCTGGGTCCAGCAGACACCCGCCGGGAGCGCTGAGGTAGGGCTATCGAGAAGTTGGTCTCGCGCGATCAACACGCCAATAGGCTATTCACCTGGTGGCCACCTAAGTGATAAAAAACGTAGGCACTGGCAATTTAAGAGTAAACAATGTTAGTAAAGAGTGACGAGAATAATTGCTATAATTTTTTTAAATTTTTTGTCATAAATCTGGTATGATGGAGGTGAGTGCCATTGAGTTATTTTCCTGATTCTTTTAAGTATTCAAATACTGTTTCCACAGGACGAATAACGTGGAATAACCTATTTGACTTGAAACTACTTTATACAGACAGCACACATTTGGAGTATTCTATGTACTAAAAATAAGCTAATGATAATGGGTGATCCAGGAACTACTTGAGATCTGGAGACACGTTAAAAATGTGTCAGAGTTCATTTTGATATTTGACAGAATGTGATTTGGCTTGGGATTATGAAAGCTTGTTTTAAAATCTGATGTACTGGTTAACATCATTCAATCAGCCTTAAAAGTTGAATCTAGATTGTATGCGACTAGACAGTGTGTCATCATAAATCACACAGTTAAAATACCCAAACCGTGTGGTCTCTAGTTCCACCCCTCAAGAACACTGACCTTGAGTAGAATCTGGCCTTTTGATGAGTACTGTTCATGAGAAAAGCATCATCGCTCTGCCAAGAAATAAACATCCGTCTGGATGTAGGTGATGCTGATACAGTTCTCACTAACAAGCTGATGAGAGCCACTGAGCCTCTTTTCAAGTCTTCATTTCAGCTTACTACCAAAGAGGAGGGGCTTTCCCAGGCACAGACCCACCTTCGCTCCCTCCTCTCCCCTGGAAACACTGCTTTCTTGATTCGATTTAGGAGCATAGCTGCATGGGGTTCTGCTCTGCTCTCCACCCTGGAGCCTGGGTGAACTTCCATAAGTGCTTCTCCCTCAGGACAAGCTGCTACCTGAGAGACCTCAGTCCTGTACTGCCAGCAACTGGGAAGACAAGCCTGACAGGCTCTGGAATTTACTCTTAGGCCCACTTGCCACCAGACTCAGAGGTGTGTGTGCCCCCGGGACCTAACTGAGGAAGAAGGTGATACTTCAGCTTCCTTGTTTGCTTTAGTTTTTTCCCTCCTTCTCCTCCTAGAATCTGAGGCCACAAGAAAGTTTTTATTTACCGAAGTTGCTCTTGGAAAACCTAACGCTACATATCACTCAAGGTTTTTCTTCAATAGAGATAAAAGATTCATTTTAGGGTGGCTGGAAAGATGGCTTGGTGGTTAAAAGTGCCTGATGCACAAGTGTGAGGACCTGAGTTCGAGTCCCCAGAGTGCACATAAAATCCAGGAGTGGAGAAATGTACATCTGGAACCCCAGCATGGGCAGTAGGAAAGGGTTGTAAAGACAGGCAGATCCCTGGAGCTCCAGGCATCACTAGCTAACCACTCAGCTAAACTGCCAAGATCCTTGCTCAGGGCAGTACCTTGTCTCAAAAAATTAAGTGGAGAGTAATGGAGGAAAATCTACGATATTGACCTGTAGCTTCCATGTGCATGCACACGCACAGCAAAATATACAGTTAAAAGTATATATATGAATATAAGGTTGCTTTAGTTTTACTGAGTTCCTTGGGTTGAGACAGTCCCACACGGCAATGCAGGCCAGCCTGGAACTCACTTATGTAGTCAGGCATGCTCACACTCATAGCTATTCTCCTGTTTCTGCCCTCTAAGGATTATAAGCATGAGCCACCACACCCAGCTCTTATCATGCTTTAATACGGAGAGAATACAGGGAGGAAGAAACTGAAGGAAGTGGGAAGTATAATTATAAACCATAAGGTTAGAGCTGTATTGTCAACAAACTCAAATACGGAAACACCATGAGTTCTATGGTAGAGAACACTTCCTCTCTGGGGAGACGGGCCCTGGAGCTTTCTGTGCCATTAATGAATAATAGTAACCCCAGCCCAGATAGGAATAGCACGGAGTCATTACAGTGGGCGCAGCCTGAACATCCCGTGTAAATTACGTCTGCCAGCACTGTAGGGCACAAAAATCTGCAACTTCATTTCCATCTGATTTGAATAATGCAAATCAAGATCTCTTTCTCTCATAGGCTGCTCTTAAGGTCGATGTTGACTTGACACCAGGTTCCTTTGATGATCAATACCAAGGCTGTAGCAAACAGGTGGCCGAGGAGCTAAATCAAGGAGATTATTTCACGAAAGAAATAGACACTCATAAGTATTACTTCAGAGCATGGCAAAAAGCCCACTTAACCTGGCTGAGCCAGGCGAAGCCCCTCCCTGAGAGCATGACCCCTGTGCATGCTATGGCCATCTTGGTTTTCACCCTGAATCTCAATGTGAGCTCTGACTTTGCCAAGGCCATGACCAGGGCTGCGGGGTCTCCTGGGCAGTACAGACAGTCATTCCACTTCAAGTATCTGCACTACTACCTCACCTCAGCCATCCAGCTGCTGAGGAAAGACAGCTCTACAAAGAACGGCAGACTGTGTTACAAGGTACACCACAGGATGAAGGATGTGAACACTGACGTCAATGTAGGTTCCACCATCCGATTCGGCCAGTTCCTTTCTGCCTCCCTGCTAAAGGAAGAGACACAGGTGTCTGGAAACCAAACACTGTTTACTACTTTCACTTGTCTGGGTGCCTCTGTGCAAGACTTCTCTCTCAGGAAGGAAGTCTTGATCCCCCCCTATGAGTTATTTGAAGTTGTAAGTAAGAACAGCACCCCCAAAGGAGATTTGATAAAGTTGTGGTCTGCTGGGAACATGAGCACATATAACTGCCAGCTGCTAAAAGGTAAGCTTGCTCTAAATTGGCTCTGTATGTATAAGGATGAGAAATCATTCTTCATCATTTATAACACACACACACACACACACACACACACACACACACACATATATTGCTGAGTGGGCTTGGAGTAAGGGAGTTGAAAACAGGGACACCTGCCTGCCCCAGAGATGATGGAACTGACCACCTAAGTCTACTTTCTGCTTCATGTCCCACCCTATTCTACCTGTAAAAAGAAAAAGAGTCTCTGCAGTGGTACCATATTAGGTCCTTATCCATTGGGCTGTTCCAGCAACCCAGAAGATGGTTGCAGACCTAGGCACTGCCAAACTCTACATGCATGATGTTTTTTCCTATATATACATACCTATGATAAAATTGAATTTATAATAAGCCAAAGTGTTTTAAACGTTCACTCTCCCCACCCCAAGATATCTTATTGTAGCTGTAACGTGACTCAGCACGATGCTTACGTCATGAGAAGACATGAGAGGAATGGTCTGGTCCGGTAGCATATACAATATGGAAACACTGAACGAAAGGATGATTGGTTTCCCACTAGGAATGGTCCAAAATTACCAAGATTTCATCTTGTTGCTCAGAATGAGACCCAATCTAGTTTATGAGTGGTGACGTTTCTGAAATAATTCATGTACAATTTCAGAGCACATTTGTCTACAAATCAAGTCATAAAAAGTAAAATTGATGATTGTTTATTCTGTATTACATGGAAAACACACATATTTAATAAGCCCTGATTGCTGCCCAAGTTCTAAGTACCAAGGAGTTGTACCATTCAGAAGTAGGCCAAGAGCTCGAACTGGTAGCAAAAGAAGATCCAAGGGAAGAAATATGAAAAGGAAAAGTTAAATTATTCTACACTGCCCTGTATACCCAGTTATTATTTTGTTGCCCCTCACATGACCTATACTGGCTACTGTAGTAACATGTCTTCATGGTTCTTAAAAAATTCAAAGTATGCCAATTAATGCTAATTGTTTTTCTCCCTTAAGTGGTTTCTTTCAGCAAAACAATGTGTGCCAAAAATACACACACACACACATGCAAACACAAATACACAATCTGCTCTTTATCACTGCATTTACAAAGAAGGATTTATGTCAAAATGTTTCAGATCATCAAAATTCTTGGCAGGCTTTCTAGAAAAAAACACAGGCAGCTGTTTGTAGCAGCTTAGTTTTACCTGTGACCTTTTCCAG